GAGCAGCTGGCATCCCAGACTCATTGCTGGCTGCCCTGGGAGGAAAACAAACAGTGTCTCCAGCTCACCAGCAGGACGGAAAGTTTTGTTTGCTGGGGCTGGCGTTCTCCCAGTTCAGCAGCTATGAAACAGTGAGCACGGCACTTGTGTTTCATGCCCGCTCTTCCTGGGTGTCTTGCTTCCCAAGAGCTTTGTGTGGCAGCGGCAGGGGAAAGCTCCCTGCCTGCCCAATGCTGTTCCCTACCACAGAGCATTGCTGTAAATGGGGGCTTTTCATCTTCCTGCCACTCTGTGCCAGAGGCTGATCCGTGTCCGTGGTGTCCAGCCACCTGCAGCCCTGTCCCCAGGGTCCAGGGAGCACTGAGCTCAGCTCTCCCTCTCCCAGGATGCTCCTGCAGCCCTCTCCTGCTTTCCCATGCATGGCTTTTCATCGCAGCCTCTCTCCCCACAGGCGAGGGGGGAGGAATTCAGCCGTGTCCTGGGGCTCCCGTGCGTGAAGGGTGAAGGAAGAGCAAGGCTGCCGTGGGCGTTTGCCATCAAGACACACTGCACAGGATCCCTCTTATGAGGTAAGGAAACCCTGGCGGGAACCAGCCCTGGCTGAGTCCCCAGGGGAAATTTGGGAGTTGGTTGCTCCCAGCTTTGGTGCTGGAGAAGGAGCCCAGCACCCTTTTTAACGCAGGGACAGCAGGCCACCACCTGGCCCAGGAGGGCAGCAATTCCCAGTGGTGCCGCCAGCTCCAGGCTTCTCCATCCCCAGGGAGCTGGTTCTGGACTTCCACATCCTCATGGACCTGATCCCATGGGCACCCCACATTCCTAAAGCCAGGCTTTGCTTGTGGTGGAGTTTAAAGGGGAGGGTTGTGTTCAGGAGTCCAAGTGCTGGGGGAGCTGCAAACGTGTCCCTGTGCCTGACTCTTGCTTTGGGAACGGGCTGCCGATGGGATCCAGTTGCAGAGGGGGCTGGTGGGATCCCAGTCACTCAGCTGGTTGCTCAAGTGACATTTCCTAAGGAGAGTGGAGCCATGGGAGGCTGATTGTTTGGATCAGGTAGAGGAGCCAGGTTTGTGGATTGAGCTGGCATTTGGCAGCCAGTGGCACTGGGCAAGCACAGCAGGGGACACCATCCCCGTGGCCATGGCTGTCCCGTGGGGACAAGGGATGCTTCTGAGACCTGTGTGAGTCCCCTGTGCACTGGCACATGGTCAGGGGGGACAGGAAGAGATCAAAGGGGGCTGTGCCTCCCTTTGATTACCCCCATAGCCCCTAATAGGATCTGGGACTCGCTCTCTTGTGCTTGAATGGAATTACTTTTCCTGCAAAGTCCTGCCTGATAGAGCCAACTGCAGGGACCCTTGGGAGGGGATTGCTTGAGGAATTAACCACCTCTTGGCTGTTAAGCTTCCCCCTCCTTGCACGTGGTGCCAGGGAGGATTCAGTCTCCCAGCCTGGCATGTGTGTGCACATGCCAGAGGGGAATGTCCTGCATCTCCCCTCCCATGGGGCACCCGAACACGTGGTGGGTCCATGTGGGAGCTGTGGTGCGTCTGGGGATGTGGATTGAGTATTTTCAGGCGTTGTCTGTCCCCTGGGTTTTGGGGATGCAGCAGCTGGACTGACGGTGGCAAGGTCTCACCAGCACAGCCAGTGGCACAGGGGGCTGAGTCTGGTGACATCCCACTGGTGAGGCTCCAACTCCCAGTGGGACCCAGCTTTTACCCCCACATGAGCTCCTGGGGAGGTATTTCTTCCCCTCTCACTGCCTCCCTGCACCCTCCCAGCCTGCCGACCGCCGCCGGCCCGAGATGTCAGCCGGTGACAAGAACGGGGGCAGCCGCTCCAGCAGCAGCCGCCTGCAGAGCAAGAAGCCCCCCAACTCTCCATCGTCATCCCGCCCCGGGAGGCGGAGGAGGATGGTGCCCCCAAGGAGGTGAGTGATGCTGAGTTTGAGGGGCTGCTGTCCCTGGGGGACCCCCCGTGCCCCCCTTACCCTAACACCCTGCTCTGCCTTCCAGCCCTCCAAGGTCCCCATCTACCGAAAGAGCAAGAGCCTGCAGGAGCCGCGCCTGGAACGCCAGCACGGATTCCGCCGGCAGACTTCCCTGTCCCAGAGCATCCGCAAGTGAGGGCAGGGTGGGCTCCAGCAGTGGCTGGGTCACTTGGAGGGGCCCCTGTCAGGTTGTTGTGGGTACCGGCAGAGGGCTTGGGATGGGAATGGAGAGTCGTGTCTCAGAAGGGAATGTGAGAAGGACTTCCCCCCACTTCCCTTCATCTCTCTGCCAGGTCAAAACTGCCCTGCTGCAGGCTGGGCTGAGACACCCCAACCCAGACCACCTGCTAGAGGGGATGCCCGGGTGGAAGGGTGGTGTTGGAGTGAGGGGACCAACTGTGTGACAGGTGTGCCCACCTTGTGTGCAGGGGCACAGCGGAATGGTTTGGTGTCAGCAGCGACTGGGAGGGGAAGCGCCAGCAGTGGCAACGCAAGAGCCTGCTGCACTGCAGCATGAGGTATGGCAAGCTGAAGCCTGCCTATCGCGACATGGAGCTGCCCAGCCAGGAGGTGCCCTCCTTCCAAGGCACTGAGTCGCCCAAGCCTGCCAAGATGCCCAAGGTAGAGCTCGGGAGAGGGGGTCCTGCTCCCAAGCCTTGCTCTCCCAGCACTGACACCTCTTCCCTCCTGCAGATCGTGGACCCTCTGGCCAGGGGCCGTCCCTTCCGCCACCCCGACGAGACCGACCGTCCCCACACGCCCCACCACGTCCTGCCCCCGCTCACCCCCGGCGTTGTCTCCTTGGCGTCCTTCAACAGCATCCGCTCCGGCCACGCCCGCCTGCCCCGCAGGAAGAGGGAGTCTGTCGCCCACATGAGCTTCAAGGCAGCTGCAGCCCTTCTCCGTGTGAGTTTTGGGAGCCTGGCGGGGCATCATCTTCTTCCTGAACCAGGTTTCAGCTCTGTCCCTTGCCCGTCACCTTTGCTTCCTGGCTGTTGGCTTTACGTGGACACCGCTGTCTCTCCAGGGTGGGTTTGAGAGGCGAGATTGGTGGTTTTTAACCTGAGCTCCACTTAAAAAGAGCTTTGGTGAAAATTGGACAATCTTAGAAAAAAGCAGCTTCTGCGTTCCACTGCTGAGGAGCCAGGAAGCTTCTCCAGCAGCCTTCTTGCTCCTGATGAGCCCTGGGCAAGCCTTGGGGTCAGGGTTGTGGGACTGAGACAAGACAGATTCAGAGGTCACTTGTCATGCTGACTAACATGGCCATAGCCCAATGCTGGCTCTGACAAGCGAAAGGCAGCACCTGCTGCCAGCTCCTGCTGCTAGCCCTTCCCACACAGGAGAATATGGTGGCTGACTGGGATTTAATCCTTGCCCCTTGGCTTTGGGGAGGGAAGCTACAAGAAACCCCCTTGGTGCTGCAAAACCTGAGGGCCTTCTGGCTTCTTACCCTCATTTGCTTCCCCTGCCAAAGGGACGCTCTGTCCTGGAGCCACTGGCTCCCAAGCGGAGGAGCAACAAGAGGAGCTTTGTGTACCCCAGCTTCATGGATGAGGACATGGTGGATGCTGCTGATACCCTGGACTCATCCTTCTTCAGTAAGGCAAGCGACATTCCATGCCGGCCACCAGGGTGGGGGGCTGTCCCAGTGCCCCTGAACAGGGGCTGGATGTGGAGCAGGGCTCTCACAAGGACCTGTGTCAATGCTTCACCCTGCCCCATGAGCAGGGGCATCGGTGGCTGCTGTGCCCCAGTCTTGGCGATGCTCCTTGGGGGTGCCAGGGAGTGCTGTCACCATCACGGGAACATTTCACGCCCTGTGATGTGCAGTTAATGAGATGTCAGTGGGGATCACCCCCTCCCCCTGACCTGGGGGATGCTCAGTCAGGGGGAGGCTTCTGACCCATGGCACACATCCAAGAACATATATCCCTTCTCCTTCCAGATGGACATGCACGACGAGACGTACTCCATGCCCGATGATGTCTTCGAGTCACCACCTCTATCAGCCACGTACTTACGCATGCACCATGTGGGGGAGGATGCCAGGGTGTCCCCCGAGGTGGAGCAGCCCACCTCGTGAGTACCAGCTCTCAGCAGGCGCTGCCCTGCTGCAGGCAGGCCAATGTCCCCAGCCATCCCTGCCACAGGGCACCGGGCACTTCAGTGTGCTCCTAGGAGGGTGAAGCCAGGAGGTGCTCCCAGCTGTTATCCCAGGGTATCCCTGCGGCCATGGGGTATTTCTCAGCTGGTCCCTTTTGGCAGCTGTGGTGGGTTTCTCCTCTCTCCGCAGGCGGGAGGGTGCCCGGCTCGCCTCGGTGTCCGGCGGCGCGGGCGCGGCCCCCCGGCGAGGCAGGCGCATCGCCTCCAAGGTGAAACACTTTGCCTTCGACCGCAAGAAACGCTACTACGGGCTGGGGGTGGTGGGCAAGTGGCTGAACAGGACGTACCGCCGCAGCCTGAGCAGCATGGTGCAGTCACAGCTGGAGATCACCGACAGCCACCGGTGAGGGGGACTGAGGGCACGGGGATGGACGCGGGACACTCTGGCTGTAACCCAGATGTGTGTCCCCCTCAGTGCGTGGGGACCAGGGCTTGGGGGGCTGCAGTGTCGCTTTGCCCAGCCATCCTTGAGCTGCTCAGATGTTGGGTCCTGTCCCCTGCAGGCCGTATTTCACGTACTGGATCACCTTTGTGCACATCCTCATCACCTTGCTGGTCATCGGCACCTACGGCATCGCCCCCATCGGCTTCGCCCAGCACGTGACAACAGACTTGGTAAGTTTAAGAGCCATCTTCCTGGGGGGACTGTGACCACCAGTGTCCCAGGGTGTCACGTTCCCTGCAAGAGGCGGGAGCATCCTGGGGGGCTCCTGCTGTTTGAGAGGCTCCAGGAAATAGCCAGGGCAGGAGGACGAGCAGCAGCATGTTGCAGCAGCATGTGTGGTGGGAGCAGAGCTGTTCTCCTTCCAACCTTACTGGTGGGACCCAGCAGCCCTTCCCCTTGGATGAAGGAGGCTGCTCAGCCTCTCAGGAGTGGAGGGAGAGGGGGATGCACCCCCATACCTCCTGTTTCCCCACTGGGAGCTGATCCTGGCCTCTCTTGGCAGGTACTGAGGAACAAGGGGGTCTATGAGAGTGTCAAGTACATCCAGCAGGAAAACTTCTGGATTGGGCCCAGCTCGGTAAGGACGCTGCCAGACCCTTGCCCCTTGGTTCCAGGCTCTGCCCTCTGCTCCTCTTGCCCTGAGCTGAGGGGATTCTCTGAGGTGCTCCTCTCCCTGGGGGGGAGAGCTTGACCACGTCATTCCAGCCTGCTGCTCTGGTCCCTCAGTGCCCCCATCCCTCTGGGACCCGCAACATCACAGTGGGGTGGTCAGAAGAGACCCATCCCCTTCCTTCCTGCCTTCCCCCCATTGGGGTAACAGAGACCTGTGTCTACTGCCTGTGGAGACCCCCTGCCCCTGCTGAGCTCTCCCCGGGGGCAGCTGGAGGGAAGGGAGGTGTGCAGGCAGAGCATCTGCTAGACCGGCATCTCCTTCCCAGATTGACCTGATCCACCTAGGAGCCAAGTTCTCCCCCTGCATCCGGAAGGATGGGCAGGTGGAGCGGCTCATCCAGCGCGAGCGGGACCGGGAGCGCGGCTCCGGCTGCTGCGTCCAGAACGACAACTCGGGCTGCATCCAGACCCTGCCGCAGGACTGTTCGGTGCGTGCCGCTGCCGGGGGCACTGGGAACTGCTGGAGATCCCTGGGGAAAAGGGGGAAAACATCTCTGCCCTGCACAGCACCGGGGCACGGTACATGTGGGGTCAGAGTGTGCATTCCCTGTCACATCCTCAGTCTCTCCATCCTTCCCACAGGAGACACTGGCGACGTTCATCAAGTGGCCGGGCAGCAACGCACCGGCCATGGGCTCGGGGGAGAAGAGGACATCAGGAGCTGTGTGTCACCAGGACCCCAGGTAGAAGTGACAGCTGGGCGGAAGTGGCACAGTCACCTGGCTGTGTGCAGGACATGGCAGAGGGGCTGCCCAGGGCTGCCTTTCCAGTTTGGATGCCTTGAATCCTCTTGTCCAAGGGGCTCTTACTGTAGGAGAGTGAGAAGGAAGAAGGAATCAGTAGGGAAACTGGAGTGGGGTCTGTCCTAGATGCAAGCAGCAATAGGTGACACTGTTGTGTTGGCTGGTCCCTGTTCTGCTGGGATGGGTGATGCTGGGCAGGGCGTCAGTGGGGATGAGTGCTGTGGGGTTCACCTGCAGAAGGAGCTGCTGTGGGTTGTTGTAGGACACCCCTTGGAGGGCAGGATCCATCCCGAGCCAGGGAAAGGGGCAGGTCCCAGGGCTGCGTGTGTGTCTGAGGGCATTACTAGTCCGCAGGGAGGGATGTCTTGGGGGAACTCACCTGACTCACCCACCTGCTTCCACCAGGACGTGCGAGGAGCCAGCATCCAACCCACCCCACGTGTGGCCAGATGACATCACCAAGTGGCCGGTAAGAGCCCAGTGCCACCGTGAGCTGGTGACTCCATGGTGGCAGCAGGCAATGAGCAGGCAGGGGGCTGCAGGCAGAGCCTGAGGCTGGACTCTGACCAAGGCTCCTTCCCCTCCTGCTTCTAGATCTGCACCTACGAGACCAAAACCAACCACACAGGCTTTGCCCACCTGGACTGTGAGATCAAGGGCAGGCCCTGCTGCATCGGCACCAAGGGCAGGTGGGTCACAGCGATGGAGGCACCCGGCCTGGCTCCCTCCTCTGCCCTCCTGCCTCTTGTTGTCCCATCAGTGTCCAGAACTGTGGCAGGGTGGGGAGGGAGATTATGGAGCCTTGCGGGGTGGGAAGCATGAAGGCAGCAGGACCAGCTGCTGGGAGCAGAGGGGGATGCTCAGGGGAGCAGGGAGTGTGCCCTGCCCCGAGCGAGCCCCCTGCCTGCCCTCTGCCAGCTGCGAGATCACGACGCGGGAGTACTGCGAGTTCATGCACGGCTACTTCCACGAGGAGGCAACGCTCTGCTCACAGGTGAGCAGGGCCAGGGAGGCACGGCCGTGGATGTGGGATGCGATGCCAGCAGCCATGCTGCTGCCAGAGTATCCTGTCAGGAATGGGGCACGGTTGGGATGGGTGTGAGCAGGAGGGATGCAAAGTACAGGGGCTTGCCCCGGCTATTGGTTGGGCTCCTGCTGGTGTGGTGCAGGAGGAAATGTAGGGCTTGAGCCAGCCTCACCTGGGCAGCACTGGTGTCCTTGGGAAAGGCACATCCTGGGCAAGAAAACAGCCCTTCAGCATCTCCTGGGGCACTGGGGATGCTCAGCTGCTCCTTTTCCAGCATGTGGGCAATGCGGGTGCCCCACACCACCCAGGGTCCCCCCACAGCTGGCACATGGCATCACTGGCTGCACATCCCTGTGATCCATCCTTTGCTCCCTGTGGCTCTGGGGTCGGGGCCGACCCCTCACCACCCCCCCAACCCTCTCCCTTTGCAGGTGCACTGCCTGGATGAGGTCTGTGGGCTCCTGCCCTTCCTCAACCCAGAGGTTCCTGACCAGTTCTACCGCCTGTGGCTGTCCCTGTTCCTGCACGCCGGGTGAGCCACAGCCCCCTGCACCCACAGGGGTGGGGGAAATGGGGATGGGAGTGTCCATTGGGATGGTCTGGGTCCCCTGGTGGGGTGGGAGAGAAGAGGGAAGGGCACTCCCACACCTTGGTGACATGTGCTATCTGTGGAGGGTGCTTTGTAAGGTGTCTTGTGCCCTGGGGCAGTGGGTGGGAGGGCTGGGCAGGGGCCTCTAAACACAGGATCTCTCCCTCAGAATCCTCCACTGCCTGGTGTCGGTGACCTTCCAGATGACAGTGCTGCGGGACCTGGAGAAGCTGGCGGGCTGGCATCGCATCTCCATCATTTTCATCCTCAGTGGCATCACGGGAAATCTGGCCAGTGCCATCTTCCTGCCCTACAGGGCGGAGGTGAGGCCTGGGGGGGCTCTGTCCCCAGCTCCCTGGGGACTAAAGGACATCCTTCCCCATCCCTGTCCTGGCAGGGATTTGGGGAGAGGGCTGGAGCACAGGGCTCTCATCCGCTGGCAGGTTGTTTTGCTGCAGGGAGGGTGAGAGGCTGGCACTCTGGTGGCAGGGGGAGACGGTGCCTCTGCCCCACGTGTGGTGTTCGCACATGCCGTGTGTGCCACACGTCGCCACGTGTCCCTGTGTGTGCCGGGGCCCTGGGCAGGCAGATGGCTAATCTGCTGCCAGCCAAACCCTCTCAGGCTTTAAATGAGATCACGCCAAGCACCCTAATCCTCCCGGGGGTGCGTCAGGATGGGGCTGGGGGGGTGCTGTGGTCTGGGAGGAGGTGATGCTTCCTGGCTGCTGAGTCACAGAAAATATCAGCTCTGCCAAAACGGCCCTGATGTGCTCCCTTCCTCTCCCTCTCGTGCCAGGGCTCCCACCCCTGAGCCTCACACAGGAGCCTGCACAGGGATGCAGAAGCCAAATGACTTTTGCAAGGGGAGGAGATGATCCCTGGGGACATGGGGATGTGTCTAGGGTGACATGTGCAGGGTCTGCCATGACTCCCCCCATCCCTGCAGGTGGGCCCTGCCGGGTCCCAGTTCGGCCTCCTGGCCTGCCTCTTCGTGGAGCTCTTCCAGAGCTGGCAAGTGCTGGAGAAACCCTGGAAAGCCTTCCTCAACCTCTCTGGCATCGTCCTCTTCCTCTTCATCTGCGGCCTCTTGCCCTGGATCGACAACATCGCCCACCTCTTCGGCTTCCTCAGTGGCCTCCTGCTCTCCTTCGCCTTCCTGCCCTACATCACCTTCGGCACGATGGACAAGTACCGCAAGAGGGCCATGATCATCGTGTCCCTGCTGGTCTTCGTGGGGCTCTTTGCCTCGCTGGTGGTCTGGCTCTATGCCTACCCGGTGAACTGGCGCTGGGTGGAGTATCTCACCTGCCTGCCCTTCACCAGCAAGTTCTGCGAGAAGTACGAGCTGGAGCAGGTCCTGCACTGACCCTGCCGGCGGGGACAGGGCTGGGAGAGGATGCTTTCCGTGGGGGAGACGGCAGCAGCTGCTCCAGGATGGGGCAGGCCCTGGGCACAGCTTCATCCTCAGGGATGGTGGGTTTGGGGTCCTGCTCAGTGCCGGGGATGCAGCGGGGAGCAGGCCTGAGCCAGCCCTGCCTTGCACCCCTTTGGGCTGCCTCCTGGTGCTGAAAAGCCATAACTGGTTTGGGGACCAACTCCTGCATGGGGAAAGGGCAAAAGGATGTGGAATTTTGGTGTATCCACAGCCAGGTTGGACTCTCAGCCCAGGGGTGAAGCTGCTGAGGTCTCCCTGCCTGCCTGGGCCCTGTCCCGGCTCGGTGCCTCTGGGCGCTGCAGCTCATACTGTGAACACGACCCCCTTTTTGCAGGGGCACTTCCTTTTATCCACAGCTCTTTAGGCCCAGGGTTTCTCCACTTCAGGCTCCCTGGAGTCTCTGTCATTGCTCTGAGATGTTCAGAGCTGAGCTTCAAAGGTATTTTTTCAGTCTTGTTCCCCCTGAGGTCCTGAAGGAGGCTTGTGCCTCCCCACCTGACTCCTCACTGGATGGAGGAGGCAGGACTTGAGACAGGGGGCCTTATCTTCCCCTTATTTCAGTGAAATTCCCTTTTTGGAAGGGGAGAAGTGGCACAGACCATGTTTGTAGTGCCATGGTGAAGTAGGCAGGCACAGAGAAAAACACCCTGGGGGGGTTGTGTGGCTGCTCCTGAAGCCCACAGACCTCTCGAGAAGCTGTTGGTGCTTCCACCTTCTGCCTTGAGTCCCTGCTGTTACTCTTTTCCCTTCAAAGCCTAGAGACCCAGGTAACTCTCCCTTCCTGAAACAGTGCTGGTCAGATGGAGAAGTGCAGGATGGGGCAGTTGCCTTCCCCCTTTCCTGCCTCCAGCCCTGAGCTGCTCTGCCAGCATCTCCTCTGCCTTCCCATCAGCCATGGCACGAAGGCAGGTCCTTCCTGGGGTCCAGGTGACCCCTCTGGGCTGGTTTGGACCCAGGCTGGTGCCAGGATGTCTCCCCTGTTATATGTTGCTTTGGTGCTGGAGGCCTCAGTGCTTTTAAATGGGGGCAGGTGGAAATCCCCCAGTTAGGATGTCCTGGGATGAGTATTGAAGGGCTGGGAGCTTGGCTCCCTTTCCACAACCACTGGCCAGGTGATCCCAGGAGCCTGTGGCATCTGCATCCCTCCCTCCGCCCAGGGCCAGTTTTCAGCCCTACTCAGTCCCTCCAGTTGCTGCTCCAGCCAAAGACAGACACTTCACCTCATTTGTCTCTTTTTGATACTTTTTCTAAAAGCTGTGGGTTTTCCCCCCCCCCTTAATAAATTTCTACCTGTATTTAATGAGACGCACAAGGCTTCTTCTCCCTTCTCGGGCCTGGGGATGTGGCACTTTTGGGTGGTTCTGGTTGTTTTGGTGATGGTTGGTGTGGCAAGGAGGGAGGATGAGTGGGCACTGCTTGGGGCTTGTGCCCTGGTGTGCTCCTCAAACCCCTCCCTGGGACGGGACAGGATTTGGAGGGTCTTGAGCCGAAGGAGAAGTCAAACACCCGCATCCATGGACCCTCCTGACCCTGCCCATGGGCAGACCCACCCCTGCCTGTATCTCACCCTTTACTGAATGACCCGAGGCTGGATTTGCCCCTTCTCCCTAGAGGCTGAAGTGCCCCAAAGGATGCTGGATAGCTCCCCTTGGGCCAGCTGGTGCCCCCCCTCCGGCCTTGTGGCAGGGTGATTGTCAGAGAAGGACAGGAACACACATGGGCTGTATAGAAAATCACACTGTCACATCTTTATTTGCTGCTTCCCAACAGCCTGAGGTGTTTGCAGAAGGCTTCTCCTGGACCAGTTGTGGGTCTGGGACAAGGAGGACCAAATGGTTTGGACTGGCTCCCTGGGGAGGCTCCTCGAGATGCAGCTGTTCCAAGAGGTCTGGAAAGATGTCTGGGGGGGCGGGGTGACTGTGAGGACCCTTGCCTGGTCTGGGGGTGTGCTCCAAGGGGTCTGGAAATATGTCTGTGATCGGAGGGGGCAGCTGCCTGGTCTGGGGGCTGCTCAGAAAGAGCTTGGACAGGGTGTGCTCCACTTGTGGTGGTGAGAGGGGGTGCAGGGCTGGGAGCACATGGATATAGGGGCTCTTCTGGGTGTGTCAGCAAACCAGGGCAAAGCCTTTCCATTCCAGGGAGCTCGTGGCCCAGCAGCCCACCCAGGCTCGCCAGCAGAGCCCAGAGAGCTGCTTCCAGCAGGATCAGGCACAGGAATTCCTGTGCCCAGCCCTGCAGGGATGTGATGGGGCTGGGCTGATGTGGCTGGAAGGCAGATGCGGCAGAGGGAGTAGCTGTAGCCAGGGCCAGCTGGGGAAGATGGATGTGGTGTGGATGGAGAGGGATTGCAGCCTCTTATCCCACCCCAGCCTCTCTCCCAGGCCGGGACGGAGCGGAGGGGGCTCAGCAGCCGCTGTTCCTGCGCACGAAGGCGTGTCCCCGCACCGAGTGCTGCATCTCGATGAAGGCCAGGTCCCCCACCGTCACCTCGCAGGGACCCAGCGCCTCGAACCCGCACTTCTGGTAGAAGGGCACGAGGAAATCCTCGCACATGAGCAGGGCCCGGCGGGCGAAGGGCAGGCAGCGCAGGTACTGCAGGTACCGCCACATCAGGATGGAGCCCTTGCCCTGCTGCCGGAAGGTGCGGTGCACGGCCAGCACGTGGATGTGCACGGCCGTGCCCTGCGCCTTGTGCAGGGTCAGCGCTGCCTGCCAGGGGGGAGGCATGGGTTAGCGGGACCATCCTGCTTCAGGCTGGTTCCCCACCCCCGTGACCCCAAAGGGAGAAGGGTCCCTGTGCCATCCCACTTCGCCTCCCTCCCGCCCGTCGTCCTTGGAGGGTTTTTAGTTTTAAAAGGAATGTTGAGGGGAATTACTTGGCAGATTTTTTTAACAGCATTGTTCAAGTTAATTACTGAGAAGGTTCATTTTCACCAGAGCAGCCCTGTAGCAGTTAGTTCTGGGAGAAGACTTGGTGAATAGCCTCAGGACGCTGGGGAGCTTCTCTTCATCCCCAAGCTCTGGCAGTGCCTCTACCAGTGCACAAGGTGGGAAGAACAGGGTCTTACCTGGCTGAGCCTCTCCTGATCCCAGAGGGAGCCAATGATGAATGCCACGAGCCGCCCCTCCTCAAACCAGCCGAGGGACAGCTCCGGGCACAGGTTCAGAAAGTGGCGGATCTCGTCCAGGTGGAGGGGACAGTCCCCAGAGACGGATATAAAGGCTGGAGGGGGACAATGGTGAGCTCAGTGAGGGGGACCAAGGACACCCAGACTCAGAAAACCTCCCAACACCATTGTAGGGGAGGGAAAGCAGGATGTAATGGAGAGACATGGCATGTGTCCTGCTGTCTGCTAGGTTTAAAGGAGTTCTAGGGGACATGGATGGTTCCAGGGAGCAACTCCTCCAGAGGCAGCCTCCACAGCCCAGGGACCAGCTCTCTGCTCTCACTGCTAATTCCAGAGCTAGAGCAGTGAGTGCTGAGTTGAACCCTCCCTCCTGGCACCTCTCCAGCTGCCCTTGGCCTTGGAGAGGAGGGAGAAATGGGCCAGGTGAGTCTGGGTGAGGGAAGCTGGAGTGCCTGGGGCAGAGGGAAGGTTGCAAGGAGTGCATCTCAAAGTGCCCCTATGCAATAGGAGACAGAACACGATATCCTTCCTCCCACTTCCCCCTCCCTTATCCTGCCCTCTGGCTCTTACAGGACTGTTTTGGGAGAGCTGCTCTGCACTCACCTGGTCCTACTGAGCCCGGGGCATCACCTCCTACCATCCCCACCCCAGGCTGAGGTGGTTCTCCAGCTCATTAACCAAAGCTCCCCCACCTCATTAGGGAGCCCGTGGTGGCCTGGCCACAAGTCACGGCTGCTGTATCCCTCCCACGAGGGACTGGTGAAGGAAAGGGATGGGTCGTGTCCAGCGGACGGAGCTCCCGCGGGCACCCCGTTACCTTCCCGCTCGATCTCGAACACGCTCACGGCGTCCTCGGGGCTGAGGCAGCGGAACTCGCTGGCTGGCAGCGTGTGCCGGCGCTGGCCCCCGGGCGACCTGCGGGGCGACCTCAGGTGAACGGGCTTCAGGAAAGGCAACGCGCTGAGCGCCGGCATCCTCCTCCTCCTCCTCCTCCTCTTCCTCCTGCTGCTGCCTTGCTTCCCGCTGCTCTGCTCGGGGCAGCCTCTGCCGGCTCCCAGACCCAGCGGCACGGGCGCCCTTTATTCCAGCCAAGCTCCTCCAGCACTCTCAGATGCCAGAAATACCTGTGGATCACAGACAGGGTTGGGCTGCTTGTCCCGCTTTTCCTACACATATGTGTATTTGTGTGTGTATACAGCAAATACACGCCCACAGTGACCCTGCCTGGCCTCGCTGTGAGCTGGGGAATGGGAGGCTGGCACCGGCTGTGGGCTGAGCAAACCCCAGGGACCAGGGGGACAAAAGCCCCGTGATCCAGATGGTGGGATAGAGCAGGGAGAGGGGCTAGGACTGTTAGAGCTGGAGCAGGTGTGGAGCTGAGCATCCTGCCCAGCATCTCCCAGTCCATGGCAGCATCAGATAGGAGGGTCCTGGGGCAAGTTCAGCTGCTGCCCTGGGGACAGGCAGAGTGGGATGGGGCTGCAGGAAGCTAAGAGGCTCCAAAAAATAAGCTCCCTATGATGCTCTCGTGTTTGTGTAGCAGCACAGCTGTGCCTGAACAAGAGGTCAGGGCCAGGCCACTGAGTGTGCACTGAGGTGCCCTGGCATGGACACACGTGAGGCACCCAGAGCCACCTCCTCGAGACAGCATGACCTGACAGGATCTACGCCCTCCTCCAGCTCACTCAGCAGATAAGTGACACAGCTTAACCTCTGTTGGGCTCTCAGGTCAGATCCACACTCACAGATATGGGTCCGTGGCAGGACCAAGCGGGTGCCTGAGGCTGTGAGCCTCGGGTGTCCCCCCTGGTGAGGTGCCCCCAGGCTTTCCCCCCTGCCCCAGGAGCTTTGGGTAGCATGATCCCATCAGACACAGCCCATGCTAGGACACTCCACCGGTGACACAGGACCCCAGACCACTGGGTTACCCCCAGAGGGTCACCAGCACCCGAGTTCATCCAGCAGCACCCATCCTGCACGGCACAGACAAATCCCTCAACCTGGATCACAGTCTGGAGCTTCAGTCTGCCTCTGCTTTCACATGTGAGTGAACCAAGTTAGTAAACTCAGAGAGAACCAAAAACTGAGTGAATAACTTTACTAAGCATATGCATTCCACTGGCAGAAATAGTGGGAATGTCTCCCAGACCCGTCCATCCATCCATCCACCCCTGCTCAGCCCAATATTCAAGTAATTTGCAGCAAAGCCAGAGCAAAGCCAGGTCATTTTTGATTATTGTTTCAGAGGTGCCGGCTTTCCCTGCTAATTATAGGCTTGCCTCCAGCTAATAGGATTTATGGAAACAGAAGCATTACCAGCACAAACATTGCGCAGGGCAGAACTGGCGCAAGCTGGGAATTTTCCATCCTGAAGTGCCGAGGGCTGGGTGCTTGAAATGCCAGTCTTATCCAGTCTGCGGTGAGACAGCGTGGTGTTGGGATTTATTTTCAGTGAATTGCTGTTTTGGCAGTGGATGTGTATCTAGGGGATCAGATCCATTAGGGAAAGGGGGTTTCCTTGGCATGAGAATTATTTAGCATTCCCAGTGCTCATTTTAGTAAACAAGGGCTGACTGAACTGGTGCTGGAAATGAGTGATTCATAGTCTTGCAGGAAGCAAGTAAAAGGGGTGAGCTGGAGGGGAGAGTAGGGTCCTGGGGGGGGGTGGGTTGTAGTGTTTGTAGAGTTTATTATCAAATCTTCTGGAACTCCTCATCCTGCTAATTGGATTAGGGGCTCATCCACATGGATAAATCCCAGAGCAGGCAAGAGAATAGGCTCGGGGGACCTAGAAAATACAACGGTGGTTTGATCCTGGGTAGTGCTGAGTGCCTGGGGCAAGTTCTGGGGATGCTGCTGGATCAGGCCTGGGATGGCTGTGCAGGATGGCAGGGCAGAGAGGTCAGTTGAGTATGGCCTCAGGCAGGGCTGGCATTTCAGCTGCCATGGGAATTATGGAGCTGGATTATGGAATCATAGAACGGCTTGTGTTGGAAGGGACCCTTAAAGGTCATTTAGTTAACCCCCCCTGCAATAAGAAGGGACACCATCCACTGGATCAGATTCCTCAAGGATGTTTGCTCTCCAATAGCCACCATTCAGTGCTCACTGTCCAAGAGCAAGACTTTATCCCAGAGCATATGAAGGGAACAACTGAATCATGGAAAGTCTCTACAGGGACATGCACAGAGCTGAGAGGTTCAAGACTTCTTGTGTAAGTGGCTGCTCCATTCCCTTTAGAGATAACTGGGAAGGGGCAATCAGATCCCTCCAGCTAATTTTAGAAATTTCCTGAGACCCCAACCAGCAACAGCCTGGAGCAGTAGTTGGTGAAGGGGAAAGGCTGCTCCTCGGCTTGTTTTTCTTGTATTTTTTTCCCCTCTGGCACTTTATTCCTGGCAACTCAGGTTATACAGCTAGAGGGCTGATATAACTGTGTTTGGCTTCTTGGAAATTAATTTCTTGCTCTGCTTCTCAGCTCCCTGCAGGTGCAAAGGTCCTCTGGGGAAGGGGGGTACACAGAACCTGCAGAGCACAGAGGAACCAGCCATGCTCCCCATCCCCAGAGACAACCCCAGGCCCTGCACTGCCATGGGAGCACCAGCACTGCTGGGACACCTGGGAGCATCCAACCTGCAGAGTGAAGGAAACTCATCCCAAGCCACAGAGTAAGTGAGAGCCAGAGTGATGAGGAAAATTTCTCTCCCTGGCTCAAGACATCTGCATTCCAGTGCTCCAACACAGCCTCCTGTATTTGTGTCAAGTCACTTATACCCCAGGCTGAATTTTGTGCTGTAACTTCTTGCCAGTCCTGCCTGAGATGAGCCCACATTTGTGTGTCGCAGCAGCAAACCAAGATCTTGCTCTGTAAATTCCTCCCCCACCCTTGTTTTTGTGCACCAGAGCTCAGGCTATCTGCGTGGTCCAGAGAGATGCTCACGTGTAAATTAACAGGCAAGTCCACAGTGCCCCCCTGACAGCATCCTTTTATTAAGTTATGAATGTCTGCCTGGGTTTGAAGCTGGATTTTCTAAGTTAGTTGATAGTAAGGAGTTATTCACCTAGTCCTGAAGTCAAATATTCTGTGCAAAAGAGCTTGAGTTCTTCCCACATCCCAAAACACAGCGGGTTTCAGTGAGAAGAGTCCCTACAGCTGAGTTTTGGTAGCATGTGTTGGAAGTGTAGAGATGGGACATGGGCTGGGATGAGAGTCACACCCTTCCCTACACCAAAATCACTCTCAGCAAGCTAAGCTCCATGCACCAACCTCCCTCCTCTCTGGGGCAATTCCCCCCATTCTGGGATACAGAGGCAAGTGACAGTGTCCAGGGGACCAGCAGCTGTCCCCAAGGCTGTCAGTGCCACCAGGGATGTGACAGAAATGGGGGTGCTTACCCGACAGGGACCCCACGCTGCTCCTCTGCCCGCCTGGCTCTGGTGGTGCTGTCTCACCGCTGGCAGAAGAGGAGGATCTGGGGTTTTGCCTCCCCTCCTCTGGCTGCTGCATCCCCTGCATCCCCTGCTTATATATATTTGTTATTTATGGAGCACGTGATGACATCCTAAGGAGTTTATAACTCCGATGAAAGACAGGGAGAGGTGAGAGGCTTTAAGGTGACAGGCCAGCACAAGGATCCCATTAGGCTTTTTTTTTCCCCCTGGCGTGACTGGCTGCAGAGGGATAAAGCATTTAGCTGATTGATCTGCTCTGCAGGGAGAGCAGGGGACTTAGCCAGGAAAGAAGAGCAGTGTCCTGTGCCTGATCCAGACTTCTCCAACAGCACTGGCAGCCAGCAGGAAGCTAAAGGGAGCCCTGCCCAGAGTGGATGAGCTTTCTTTGTGGGGAGGATGGGGAGGCTGCTGGTTGTGCCAGGTGTGATCAGCACTTGGGCTTGAGTGTTGGGGAGTTTCTCAGGGGAATCAGCTGGCTCCTTGTGGAATGGTGGAGTCAGATATAAGGTTTCTTCCCCAAGGAGCTTACTCCAAAACCCAAGCATCTCCCTTCCATGCAACCCTCAGTCCCTGGGAGCTGTTACATAATAAACTGGACAGGCAGAACAGGCAGTATTTGTCCCCATCAGGACACATGTAATAAAAGGGGGATTATCCCAGGCGTGAGCATAATGTTGGAACCATCATTATCATCGTGAACCAGATGCAGCCCTGAAAGAAGCCTGGAGCAGGAAGCAGAGCTGGCTTTGCTCCACTGGGGACCTTCCCAGAGCAGCTCAGGACCTGCTTTAGTTTCCAGCCATGGGCAAAGTGACCTGGGGCTATGCCCTTATCTCTCTCTTTTAAGTTGTTTTCATGGAATCAAAACAGAAATATGACCCAGCAGCTCTCTGCTCTTCAGAAATGGCATTTCAGAGCAGCTCTCAGCCATTAAAAGAGCCTGGTAGAGCAGAGGGCTGGCCCGTGGCTGGAATAGTCAAGCAGGGATGCTGCATTCCACAGTTTTAGTTGGGTCTGCCTCTTCCTGCTCCCACACAGCTGCGGAGGGTCAACAACTCCATTAAATGAGCGCCACAGCAGTGTGCCGAGATTTACATATTTAGCAGCTCTCTCAGCATCTTCAAAGAGCCCCGAGCTGTCACTGCGGCCCCGCAGCCGGGCTGGTCCCTCTGTTGGAGTACCCACTCAGGAAGACAGCAATTATCTCCGGGGAGGATTTGCAGCGAGGGGCGACGTGTGGGAGGCAGATGAATCACGACTCGCCCCCCCCTCCGCCAGGGCCTGGCAGTGAAGCCACGCACAGGCAGCTCGGAGGCTCCTCAGCTGTGCCGCGCTCTGCCTCCATCCCGGCCGTGCCCCATTATCCCGGCGCTCAGCGGGATTAAGCTGCTTTTGGCGGCTGCAGCCCTGGCTTTCAGGGGCAGTGTCTGCCGTCTCAGGGGATACAGATGGCATCAGGATCCTCCCCTGTGTGACGCCATCAGAGAGGTCTCTCTTCCAGACTCACATAACTACATAATTC